CGTTGCTAAACATTGTGGATCCCAGTATTGTTACCTATGGCAATCCCCCATCTTCTACATCTCTCTCGCTAACGTGGATGACCCTTATTATGGTTGAAAGAAATCAAATCTCATGCAACGAAAAGCAGCATCGAATTCTAAACTACATGGACACAATCCTGTACTTTCTACAACATAGTACCTTAATGATCCTCCGTTATTGATCTTCCCACATTCACCGCTTCTTGTTTGCTTTCACGCTCGTAAGCATCGCTTTCCATAGGGCAATGTCACTTCCGGTCAACGCAGCGGCCTCAACAGCAGTAGCTAATACATCAAGTCCTCCGGGGCTGCTGGAAACCATAGAGAGAGCAGATCTTGCAGGTTTGAAACATATCGTCGGAAGCGCCTGGTATTCCAGCTCCATCACAATCCCGACATAAGCGATGGAAACATAGAGCAAGGACCATTTCTGGTGCCTTTGTTCCACACCGGTCACATTTGGCTGCCTCTATATTTTCCATTGGCTCTCTCAGAGGCATACTCCGCTCATTCCCGACCAATTGTCTAGCTCGGGCCAGGGCGTTGGATTGAAGTCGACATAGCTGTCGTAGGTTGCAGAGTTCTTGAAGTGTCTGCGGCAGAACCCACATCGACCCTGCATGGTTCTGTGACCACAATGCCTGCTCGAGCCTCTGAGATTCATGTTGCGCCCTCTCAAGGGCTTGGTAAAATCGTGCTCTGATTACACACGAACGAGGGTAAGTTTTCATTTTTCTGGACGGTGCCCTCGAGCCTGCAGCTAAGTATGTCAGTTCCCCCAGATCATCATTGTGTGAGGGGATAAACCTTTCATCTCAGCCGGAGGCACAACGCCCGTTAGCGTATTCTTCTGCATCAGTAGGTGCAGGATGTGGGTTGGAGTGGTGGAGTGAAATATACTTGAAAAGACTGGGGAAGGAAAAATAGAAATGGTCGAGGTACAGCTTAGCAATCGTGGGAGTACATACTTCCACCCAATATATATTGAGTTGAAGCCTGTGAAACGGTAGAACCACCATGGCCTAGATATATGGACTTACAACCGTCCCGGCAATCTTGCGGATTACGGACCGTTGATGTGAACCGTGCGGATGTCGGGAAGTACTTCTTCGGGCTAACCCCGTTCGTTATTTGAATCGTTGACCAGAGGATCTCACTGACTAACGTTTCTAGGCCGTAAGGTAAGGAAACCCGCTTCGTACAAGTGGCATCCCTTCAATGGGGCCATCTCCGTGGTCGCCGTGCCCTTCCTCCCTTTCTTTATCTCATATGACGCTAAAGTAAATAGACGGAAAGTCTATTCCGTCGTCGGCCTTGGTTCCTGCAGCCAGACGTATAGTAGGTAAGAATGGATTTTCCGGAATCCTACAGTCTCGGCTTATTCCATGAATGGTTAAGGCCGGATGGTACTCTACGGGTTACGGTATTCAACTACTCATCCGGAGTGGCAAAGAAGCCCACACTTGAGGCGCGGCTGGACCTCCGAAGGTTACCATTACTCCCGAGAACAGTGTCAGAACAGCAAGAGGCTCTGGCTGGCCCCCCCTAGATCTCTGGCCGGTCACAGTCACAGTCGATTGACCTCCCTCCTACTCTCCGTCGCCCACGGCAGTTGACCATGCCGAGCGGCGAAGATTACTCAATCTCACCCGATAATATAAAGATACCCCATCACTCATGGAGGGTCTTTCCCATTCCACGTCGACACAGTCGAATGGAGAGCGATGATATGATGCCAAGTGCTGACCAGCGTCCTACAGACCCGGACATCCTTGTTGTGGAGGCGTGGGGACAAGGATTCCTGGTGGGCTCCCTTATTGTCATGATTGCCATCACCGCAGCCAACATGAAAAAAGGGGTGCTCCTGCACAGACTGATCGTGGCAGAGGTAAGTTGTGCTGCCTCGTTGCGGCGAATGGGGCACTATCCCTGCTAATGTGGACGCTTAGCTTGCCCTGGCCCTCGGGCACGGAACATTCATCTTTCTCCATGCGCCTGCGTATGGCTGGTTTCTCTCGGTCACGGCCGTGGGTCTCGCAATTTCGCATTCCCTCCACAATGTGATTGCATGGATGAAGATTCGTGGTTTTTTCCCACCCTGGGGAACGCGACTGTATCTGATCACCCTGCTGGCGGCCCAGCCGTACTGGGTCGTCGAAATTTATGCCAACTTTGCCTTTTTCAATCGGGGCCAGGCCTTATATACCACCACTCGGCCACTCGAGCCGCTCTTCCGGTGCGGTGTCCGAGTGCGATCCTCCCCACGCTCCGCATTGCTGATGCGAATCTAGGGACCCTTGGTGGATCTTCACCACCTGCTTTCTCCTGTACGTCATCCAGCGGGGCTATGGGTGTTCGCTGGTGCAGCTGATCCGCTCCAGCCCACGGTTCGGCATCATGCTCCTGTTCATGGTGATTTCTGTCGTGTTTGCGGTGGTGGACATGTGTGCGACCCGGGTCGAGAATCGCCTAGGCTACCCCCCGGGGGTGGAGCCGTTCTGGAAGGTGAGCGGCCGCCACTGACGACGAGAAGACCAGCATGCTGACCCTGCTGTAGCTGGCGTT